ATATATATATATATATATATATATATATATATATATATATATATATATATATATATATATATATATATTTATATAGATATTTTGTATTTGCTGAACATTTCCAGTTAAATGCATAACAAGTCTTTCACCATAGATTCATTCACCATAAAGAAGAGGAGTTCAGCTTTTTAAGTATATTCACAGTTCTGATCGCTTTACGACTTGAAAGTCCTTTAAAAGTCTCAAAATAATTTTTTTTTAAATCATCCTTGAAATGGAGGATGTTAGGCTTTCTGTTTACACTTGTGCATATGAAACTTGCCTAATAATATCAACAGAATATAGACAGGAGATTCTTATCAATATCTTTTTTTTATCTACATAAAATATGACATCTCTTTTCTTAATAATAATTATATGACCACTCACTATATTAAATAGACATTCAACATCAAACCAAAAAAAATTAACATACAATCAAAAAAACTAATGCATAACAGTCTCAACTTCCATTCCGCAAAAAACTCCACTCCGATTCAGAAAGATCAACTTTACACCTCTTGAGAAGCTGGTTGGTTGGATATATTTTATGTATAATTTTAAAGTAGAGTTCACTGACTTTATTAGTCACACAATATTTGTTGTTATAAGTCCAGATCAAGTTCCAATTGATTTTCTCAAATTGTTTTTTTCAAAAGTACTTGTGTCTAAAAATTGCAGGACAATGAATCAAACGTCTAAGAAATGTATTATTACATTTTCTATCTTTGATATCAACACCCCCTAACAAAATCTCATTTTTTACTGTTAGTTTATTTGGTTCACTGTAACCCTCGAAAAGCCTCGCCAGGCCTGCTGGTATTGCGTTAATTACAATACTATAATCTCGTACTTAGAGGTCCTGGAAAACTAAAAATATTATGAAATATTACCGAGCGCGCGCTCTCCTCTCTGTCGTCACGCGCGTGCTCGAGCTCCACGTCAATGTGCAGAAACTCCAGTAAATCCGCGACCGGAGCCTCGTTTACTATAGTAAACCCACCGTCCGGAGAACAGCCACCTACACGAAGCTGTTCCTCCATCTGCTTGGATGTCTAAAAATAAAAGACCGTATATTCTGCCGAAAACAACGAAAAAACCATTATATTTATGTCATGACAAACATCACGAGACTGATAAAGTGAAAGTACTGTGTTTTTACACTGCTGAAGGTCTCCGCGAAAGCGACGAGTAACTGATAAACCACAAACATGTAAACGTGTGTTAAAAACATAAACAAAGGGTCGAAAACAACACGAAAACAAGCCACTGCTGCAAGTGTTTTGGAAAGTCGTTAGAATGGCGCAAGGTTATGACGTCAAGCAACCACGTTGTTGCAAAATTCATAATACCGGTTAAATGTCTGTGTAAATGTGATTAAAACTCCTTTATTGTGTGAAACCTACTTATACTAAAATGCAGATGTGCTTGTGGTAAAGCATATACACTACACGATAATAATTATGAATGTTTAGATTTGTTACTCATAAAATGTTTAAATAAATGAATCTTTACGGCATTTAAACATTATTTTTCAACAGTCAATAAAATCAATATTGGTTATAATGTGAGCCGCATTCTCATCTTATTTTTGTTATCACTTAATTTATGATTTATTCTTAGAATAATTTTTCTTTCTTGAAATGCAATGACTTTAGTCTCAACATTTTAATTTAAACTCGTTTCTCCTTATTTTATGATCTTTATGATTTATTGTTTTAATTAAACTTTTATTCTTAAATTGTTCTTTAAATGTAACAAATTTTTCCCTTCAAAACTTAATGAATTTATTTTGTCAAAATTTATTCCTAAGGTTTTTTTTCTCCACATTTAACACAACTTTTATTTTGAAATGTAACTATTTATTAACCTTTTATTTACACTTTTATTCTTTTAATGTAACTACTTATTCCTCAAAACACAACAGCTTTATTATAATTTTTTTTATTCTCATCATTATTATTTATAATATTTTTCTCCTAATTACAGTTTTCCTCAGTGGCTTTGCTGCATTTCTCACAACACTATTTACATTTGCACAACAGTTAATGCATTTCTCAAAACGATTAGTCATTTATGCACATCCTAGTAGCAGTTTCTCATTCTTTTCAACAAATTGCAGATGCTTTTGGATGTGCATCAATTGCTTTTATACAACTCTCTGCTGTTTACAACATTAACATCTGCTTATGTCATGTCAGTTAAAATTAAGTAAACTTGTAAATGCTGACAGTTTTTCTCAGTCGCTTTGGTGCATTTCTCACAACACTAATGCATTTCTGCACAACATTTAATGCATTTCTCAAAACAATAAGTACAAACTGCAAAACCTAGCTGATAACCTGCAAAAGCGCGTCACATGCTCAAAATGGAGAGTTCATTCCTCAAAAGCAAGTACTGATGTCAATCAAAGGCTGTTTCTCAATATGCGTTCTTCAGCGGTCTTGCGTCCTCGTGTTCTTGTGAAACGTCATCATCAGCTGCCTAAGTTCAGTTCCAATACTCAAGACCGCAAGTACGGAGGACGCGTGAAACTTCCCGGATGTGTTCTTGATATCGAGGACGCACTGATGCTGACTTGAGCACCGAACTCGCTCTGGAAGTCCCAGAAGTCATTGCGACTGGAGGTGGGAAGTGCTGCATTTTATTTAGATTTATTATTAAAGTTTAGAAATATCACTTATTTACCTCAGGAGTTTCCCTAAATGAAACGGTGAAAGTAAATATTAACATGAACATCTTAATAAAGGAATAAACACATTAAGAGTTGTTTGCTGAAATTCGTATTAAAATCTGTTTTATTTATATTGTGCAGAGTATATTTCTAATGTTTTTATGCAAAGTATATATTTTGAAGAGGGGAAAAACAATAAATCGTTGTATGAGTGCTGTAATGTTTAAATAGTTTCCATTTAAAACACGTAAAGGTCACATGACCATCAGGAAGAACGCAGCATCCCATTTCTCAAAGGACGCGTTCTCTGCCCTCGCGGTCTCCTGAGTTCGTTCTTCCGAGGACACCTGGCAAGACCGCTCTCCACAAGAACGCAAGTCCGTTCTCTGCGTTCTTGGAATTGAGAAACAGCCAATGTGTCAGTGTCATCAAGATGAAAAGTGCTGACACCATTGTTTATGAACAAGATAGTCAAATGGCTTTGTCCTGTTTTCATTATGACAGTTTACTCTGGACATTTTTTTTCAATGCAAAAAAAAGTCAGATTTTGGTGACAGCACTATATACAATCTGCACAGCCATTTGAAAACTACAGTAAAGTTAGACATCACTGCATTTAGTGAGGTATCTGAGTACAAGACACTGAATATGTATGTTTCACATTTTTACTCTGCATTTGCTCTTTGCAATTCTAATTTATTCACAGCATTGTGCAAAAGAATAAACACACCCCTTATTTACAACAAACATAAACTCCCTTTAGGTAGAGCTGTGCACAACTGTACACAATATTGCAGTACGCATTGGAACTGAGGCTACAACATAAACAGGTCTGTAAATCATTCATGAAAGTGTTAAATTTTAAAGACATTTTCAGGAAAATAAAGATTTAAATTTGTTTTATAAAATTTGCTAGAAAGATTTTGACAACTAGTTCAGCATTTTTGTATGCAATGACTCAAGTAATGAAACGAGGACTATTAGTTTTATATGGAATGCCTTGTCAGCATTCACAAGTTTAGTTAATTTTGACTGACATGACATTAGCAGATGTTAATGTAATAAACAGCAGAGAGTTGTATGAAAGCAATTAATGCACGTCCAAAAGCATTTGCATATTGTTGGAAGGAATGAGAAACTGCTACACTGCAAAAAATACTTTTCTTACTTAGATTTTTTGTCTTGTTTCTAGTCCAAATATCTAACAATTCCTAAATCAAGAAGAATTTTCTAGACAAGCAAAACCTACTGTCTTGTTTTGAGAAATAATATGCCAATATTAAGTGGGTTTTTCCTTAAAACAAGCAAAATAATCTGC